ATTTTTATATAAGTGAATATTCATCGCTTTTAGCTTTAAAGTTGCCAAAGACGGAAATCGACTTTGGAACACCCTAATTAAGAGTTCAGGAAACAGAAACAACGTATACAAAAAGACTTCCGTAAGTTTTTGATCAAATGGTATGCCGACATACTTTGGCTCAAAAGAAGACAATCTGAACTAATTTTTATTAAGAAAATAATGCATAGATTTGCGCCTAAGTAAAAATTAAGCAGTTATGAAGCTACCGCGCCCATTCGCATGCCGCAAGTGAAAAAATTTTGCGGGTCTTGACAGAAAAACTTGCAGAATGATCTTCTTTTTCAATGTTTTTTATTTTTTGTAAAATCTTGAAGCGTCCGTAGTTTTTGGGCAAACAATTTTTCTCTTTCGTTAGTAGTTAATTAATGCATATTATAATGAAGAAAAGTACCACATGGTCAGTCTTTTTGCATACAACGTATGTGGGGCGATATCGAAATTGACGAGTTCCAGATTACTGCACATTTCCACTGAAAGAAAAGTTAGACTGGACAATTTAGTGTTCAAGCTCTCAAGATAACAGACTAATTTTGCCTCTTTATTAACGGTGAGAGAGCACAAGACTCAAACTTTACGCGTTTTATTCCCTGATAAAGCCGGTTTTACCAGCCATTTTGTATTTAATTCACACGATTTTCACCATTCATGGCAATGAAGAAAACCATCATTAAAGGCGTATTAATCAGCTGCTGGGTTCGTATGGCATGCCACTTACAACTTAACTTAGTTCTAATGAAAGATTTTCCGTTCGATCTTCGTCGCACTTCCAAAGAAATAGCAATAATCTTAGATCACCCTCTATTTTTCCCTGATTAGTAATTTTGGTTTGGTGTTAGCTTCTTTTTGCCGCAATCGTTTAATTCATACTAACAAAATTTCGTAACATCAGCAATTTTAAAACATCAGGTCTGACACTGCAACTAAAAATTGAACAGCAAACTTACCACGACATGCATTCGTTTAAAATCTTCTGCAAGCTCGAAGTATTTACGTGATTATATCGTTCTTGTAGAAGTAGAGAGAAAAGTTTATTTAAGAAATTTTCAAATTTCGATAATGCACCTACTGAGAGAAAGTTACTGATCTGAAAGTATTTTTAGGAATTTGAAAAAAAGCAAAGTCGAAAAAAGTAAACGGATTATGCGAGTTAGAGCTAATAGCCACTAGCAGCAGACTTGTTCATCAACATGAGCAAAAACAATTTCCCGGGCAGCATGTATGGCAAAAATTAATTAACTTCATTTGAACAGCTTGACTATAATGAGGCGCGATTGCAAATTTCCGGAAAAAATAATGAGGTAACAAAATCCCAACTCAAAAAGGCATTCGATAAAAAACCTGCTATCACCGATGGTAAAAAAAATATTTACTATCTTTAATCGACAAAAAATGTGTACCAGAATGTAATCGATTTTTATAAAAAAAATGTCCAGCTGATTGTTAATTAATGTTTTTTGTTTTTCACTTCAGCATGGCATTGCATTGCAAAGTATGCAATGCTTATAACGCTTTGGGTAAAATTTTTGTTGCAATGTTTTGTTCACTTCTTAAGACTTGAGGTATGATTGTCAAAATATTGGTTTGTTAGTTTACTTACTTTCTAGCCATTTGCACTTTTCCTTCACGGGTTTTCATAAATTTTCATTTGTATGTCTGTTACCATATATTTTTAATAATTCATTCAAACCTTTGATATTTATCATCTTCAGGTAAGCCTATAAAAATATATAAAAAATTAGATTTAAAGAAATTAATACAAAATTGTTTACGCAGAATCGCAAATACAGCTAAAAAATATAATTTACTCTCCGGAAAAAATCGCGCAGAAAATGTAAACCTGTTTACCATCGGTTTATTCCCTATCTATGTAGAAACTATAAATGTAGGATTGGAAGGAATTTCTAATAGGTAGGTACATATGTTTGTGGCTCCAATGAAACACTCAATTAATAAATGACAAAATATACAGACAAAATGACAAGATAAAGGTTTGCCTTCCTATTAATAATATATTTTTCACAAAACTGTTAAAACTCAAACGCGTACAACAAATACAAAATATCAACATCATAAAACATTGAACGCAACAGTTTTTACTTTAAAATTATCTTCAAATCAGTTAAAACTGAAGGAAAAACTGCTGCACCCAAAAATCTTAGCGCGATCTTAATCCAACTGGGACAAATCAGACATGGTAGGTAGGTAGTACATCAACCAAATCGAATGGCACAAAGCTAAAATAGATGTCGACCATTTCTTAACACTTCAAAAGGCAAGAGATTATACTTTTCAGCCAATAATTTTATTGCAATTCTACTCGTTTTTGCACGTAAAACAACCAATTTATGTAGTTTTATATGATGTTAATTAATTAATAAAGTCTTTTAGACATACAAAAAAGCATATAATTTTTAATCCCTTTTGCAAAATTTTTGGTCATACACATACATTATTTATACAATGAAATTGTCTAATATCGCGGGTAGCTCAGCAGTTTGAGCTTCTTAACTTCTCCTGGTTGATTGTATATGAAAACGAATTGTTTTATTCCACATATTTAGAACGTGTAAAGATGCATGTTCCAAAAATATTCTTATTTTTAGGGGACACGCTGTATATGTTGGCAGAGTTCAATTTCATACCAAATTATCTGTATAGAACTATATTTATTTTAATGTCCTAGTTTGAAGGAATTTTGTGATTAATGACCACAGATATTTTGTTCCCAGAATTGGTATGATTAAGAAAGTTATACTTACAGAGCGGATCATCGTACTTAATGAAACGTTTGCACCGTGAACAGCAAACAAACAAATAACCGATAAACAGTTCTCTGGCATGGAACGACTGCCGGAAGGGTCAAAAAGGATATAATTTCCACATATAATGCATTTTTTAATTTCAGCAGAAACGAGACTAAAATTACTCTTTAGCTATACAACTGCTCCGCGCAAAAGAATAATTGGACCGTTATATTGTAAATTCTTCCGATGTTTCTGTAAAATTAAGTATTTTGAAACAGGCCAAACGTTTATGTCGACAGACGCATTCCAGCATCAAGTGGAATTGCTTTTAAAGAGAAAAGGTAAAGTTTATTTCAGCTTTTATGCCTGGTCGGATTATACATCAAAGTATAAAGCTATAAACATGGTATGGTTTGGGGGTGCTTCATACAAGACACCAAGTCTTTAAAATATGAAACTGACTTTCAGAGTAACTTTCTTGAACTCAACTTTTTGGGTGAAAAAACAACCTTTACCAAAGGCTTCTTTGCCTCCTCATCTGGAGGCGTTCTGTTAAGCTTGTAATTCGTCTTCTTTTTGACAAAATTTATCAGTTGCAAACAATACACCCAAAGAAGTTGAAATTTAATTCCTCTCGTATTTACAACAAAATCACATTTTAGTTATTAAAATTGCATTTTTATGGCAATATATTTGTTGTCTTGGAGGACTAAGGAGAAATAATGTTTATAGGTAGCATAAAGCTTTAAGGTCTTAGTTTGTTGTTAAAAGCGTTTTTTTAATGACAAATATTACAAAAATTATTTCGATATTATACTTAAACATGTTCTCACAAAAGTTAGTATTGATTGTTGGATTGCCCTTAATTTTGAATCCCTTCTTTTACGTATCTTGCAAATATCAATATTCCTAATAAAAATGCTCCGATTTATTTTAAAATCAAAGTTCTATTCAAATTTTGAAAAGACAAGTTCATACATATTAAATTTTTATATCTGCAGATAAAATTTGAACCTACTAAATTAAAAATCAGGACACGCACATCTGAAATGTTGTTTTCGAAGTTTTTAAGGATTTTTTTGCTTCTGACGGCAGTATAATCTAGATATCTTTGCTCCCAAAATTCCACATTTTTGAAGACAAACATGATAGTAAAAAAGTACAAAACACTGTAACACGCGTAAATGTTAAGGGCAAAATAAACTCATTCAACCCCAAAATCTACACCATCAGTATTTGCAAAAATACGAGTTAACGGTCAGGTAGGAATAATAATTGGTAAACTGTGTAAAAAACCTGTTTCCCATCTGAAATAGTTCGTGAAATATAATCGAAAAACTGGAAAAAATACTTCAACAACATATAGGTATGTCGGTAAGGGACTTCGTTGTCCTAAAGGTTTATTCGTATTTTTCAATATAAAACATGTTGGAACAGTTTTGTCGCTTAAGTTTGAGTCGCACTTTCATAAGGTTTCCCAACACACTAAAATTTAAAATTAAACTTCGCACTGATGCTTAAAATGCATTTGAACTGAAATTGTAAAAACGGAACCAAAATATACAGCGCGTTGCATTAAAACACTAACATAATACAAGAAATTCATACTTAAATGCCCCAATTTTCTGAAGGCGGTTGTATATTTAGAAAACTGCCAAATTCTCATCGATACACGTTCTAAAACACTTGCACCAAAATTTCATATTGATTAAAATCATAGATGTAAAGTTTTAATGCGTGCAGGCGATTTTACACTATTATGTCATCAAACGCGTATTAGATAAAAGACGGTTTGAGCTTATAACTTTAATGATATAATTAGACAAGGTTTGTCTTAGATTATAAGAATTTTGTTAAATACACCGGAATTGCTTTAACGCATTATCCCATAAATGCATTAACATAAAACCCGACTCACAATTTAAAACCATTAAGCAAGGATAATTTCACAGAAAATGTCAATATATTTAACATTTTGAGCAAATATCATGTGGATTTAAATAGCATTGTTTCAAAGAATTGTTACTCCAATTAGCAACTTTCTAAATGACGAAATTCAATTTCACTTTGAAGGTTTTCTACGCACAGTTTCCATTTAAACCACCCAGAAAGCATATATGATTGATGTTTGAGTTGCAAACTTGCCAATTTTGCAAAATTTAAGCAACCTCTGGGCATGTTTGTAACCAAGTAGGAAGTACTACGGACATTAAATACACATATTACATTTTGTATATTACAAAATCTACATATATTTAAGGACGGAATTTTAGTCTTAATATTACATATTATTTGTATAGTTATTGAAAAAATATTGTATTTTAAAGTATGTTAGACTAAAACAAATTCATTTATGTTGACGTAGTTTTGTAAATTTATCATGTTTTTAAATCTTTTTAATACTTCGCCCATTAATTTGATATCACTGTGTATGAAACTGGACTAATTGGAAATAATGAAATGCATACACAGTGCGAACACCTGAGTTGGAGCAAATGGTAATTTTTTTCTTGAATCGTTAACAGTTTCGATATAAGATTTCAAACTAGATAATAAATTACAACGACATCGTCTCAAGTGTATTTCAAGAATAAGACGAAGGTCCTACCTAGGTTGAGCAATATATATGTATTATCATTATTACTAGGCTGCTTAATTTTAAAAAAATAACCAACTTTTATTCGTTAATTAATGTATTTTTCAGTTTCAATCTATTTCAAGTAAGAAAATATTTTAAAAACAAAGTATCTATCTTTATAGAGAAATGCATCAAAATGACCACATTTTGTCACAACTTCAAGTAAAATCCAACAGTAACTTTTTCCATCATCAATATCTCAATATTTCTTGAAACATGCCCAATTACTTGAAATAAAATTCCGGTAATTTGTTTGCGATAAAAATGTTAATGACGAATTTATTAGGTGTACGCACTTTATAACATTTCTACTCTGTTCCATTTACAATAAAAAACATTTTGAATAATCTTACAATAGAAATAAAGTTTTGTTACCAAAATTAATATTACGTCATGTTAAAATTAGTTAATTAAATGGACCATGGAAAAATGTACTTGCTTTTTCTAAAATAATAATTTTAAGTTTAATACTTATAGTTAGGTAAAAGCCAATTAGTATGCAAGTTTCTTGTAAAAATTACACATATGAGTATAAACACTAACAAAACGTTTTAAATAATTTGAATTAAATTGTCAAGCGTACTAAATACTGTTTAGTAGGATTTTCAATTTGTTTAACCACATCAATCTCATTAAATCTTGAATAATTTTAACGTAGTGGTTTGGTAAAAAAAAGGTGAACTATTTTCAGACTAACTGACGAAATTAAGTGTTAAGGAAAAATACATCTTCCTATGGTTCATTTAAACTTAAGTAGAACCGGGTATCACAAAAGATCCTCGATTATGTGAACATCTTAACATATAAATCATCCTGTGCAATAAAAACTGAAGAGCGGTTGTTTCGATTAAATTGACAATTTTTGTTACTTCACTTGGTCCTAATAAGAATACGTGCATATTCATAATTAATAAACAATTGAGTTAGTTTAGAGCTATTATCAAATAGTGCAAAAAACTATCTCCATTGTATTAACAAACCTCTTATACAGTTCACACAACCGAGCATCTACAGTATTTAAAATCAGTTTAATTTAATTTTACAGTATTTATTTAAAATTTTTAAACAGTCCTTTATCCACGCAAATATGTAAAAAGCGTTGCGAAAATGGCGCCACTACAAGTTCTTGTGATACGTGAGACTCACCTTCACAACTTAATTCGGCAAAAACAACAGCTCTGCTAAATAAAAAATTGCAGTTAATACAACCGATTGCACTACTCTACACAAATATACAGGAAACCTGAGCCCTGGATAAACTCGAACTGCCTCCAATCGATTTTGTCGATTTCACTCAAATACTTGCGTTCTTGAATGTTACCAGGGACACTTTGGCGTTGGGTCAGTCTAGCGTCGTTACCATCATAGATTGTACCTCTCTAAAAGTCGCCCCCATATTTCCGGGTAAACTCAGCTTTTTTACTATACAGCTTCTTAGCTGAGAAAGCATTTCATGGCATTTAACGGATTTTTGGTAGCGCTCTTCGCGAGGAATGTCTACACCAAAGGAACCAACTGGTGACTGAATATTGCTTCGAATTACTGGGCCGAAGTGCCGAAGAATCAGTTTGAGGGTCGTACATCCCACTGTCATGTATCTGCAATAAAAACAAATGTTTCATACAAAAATTGTTTAGATTACTAGTTGTAACTATTAAAACTGATAACTTATAAATAATAGAGTTGCGTTCAATAAATGCCAACAGACCGGCAGAAAATGTATGGGATTTTTTTATTACATCTACTTTAAGGCAAATCGTTTATTATTAGTGTATTCATGGCTATTGTTAATATAGTACAAGTATTACATATTTTCAAAGAATACATGACCACTATTGAATTTTGGTCAATTTCTAGTTTCCGTCTCCCTCGCGTTTGGAGTTAAAAATATGTTCACCTTATAGATAATCCCTTTGAATATAAAACTAACTAGTTAGTTTCAAAGGATAATCCCTATACTAACCACTTTTCTTAGTGGTGTTTCTTAGGTTTTTACGCGTTTTTACACCTATTTTCATTCATTGAGTTTCGCTACCATGGCGTCCACGTTGTTTTCCATTTTGTTTGTACTTCATTTTTTCCCAGACAAATTTTGGAGGTATTTGAGTTCGTTTGGTTTCTTCAGTCACTTTTGTTAGTTTTCCTTAGCACTGGTTATGCCTTTTTAAAATATATATTTTGTTCAAACTTGATTTTTTCTTAGACTAGATTTTGTAGATATTTGTGTTAGTTTCGGGAAAAATTTGGAAAAAAATTGTTTTGAAAAAAAAAAAAAAACAGTAAAAATAAAAAAGACAAATAAAATGCATAAGAAAATATATGTGGTATTGATTTCGATTAGATGGCCATATTTCGATTGCAGACATTAGAATTCTTCAAAGTAATTATATTATTGGCAAAATATACGCAGTTTTGAAAACATTGATTGAATGAGAAAGACTAATCACTTTTGCGGCTTTATTAAACAGTTAAAAAGTAATAATTGAAGTTCAAACGTTTTTTCCTTCCGACCTAATATTCTTTCATTCATTCATTCTTATCAACTTACAACAGTTTAAGATCTAATATCATCTTACCAGTTTAAAAATGTTTCCATTAAAAAAAATAAACAAAAGTAAATAATCGTGTAGGAGTGATTTCCCAGTATCCATATTAGTAATGACGAGTTTATTTCATGTTAATAGTTTACACTGACAAATGCAGTTACTAAAGTACTAACTATAAACAGTTAACTAATATAAGGTTTATCGCTGAATAAAAAAAATACGATTTTAAACGTATAGTGGTAACACAACAGTAAGTGAACTTGAAGTTTTGTGTCACCATTTTTCTTTTAAATGTTTAAGTTCATAACTATTGTCTTATAATAAAAAACATTTTTTCACCCAACGGGTTCTATTTCTTGTGTGCAAGTTTTGACTCATTTGCCATTTTTTTTAACTAAAATTCTGGTTAATAACTAATTCATATTAATGCCGCCTGCAGACAATATTTTACAGATGTAATAAGGAATAAAAGTCTGACTAGACCTGCTTATAGTATTGTATTCAAATGAATAGCAGTTGGAAAACAGATTAGTAAAAAATTAAAAATTGGTTAGTTTCTGCTTTTAATCAGGTAATCGATTGCATCTTTATCGTAGATAATAGGAGTTGAAATTTAAAAAATTAAACGGATGAAATTCAAACAGGAAAAGTACTACAAACAGTTTTTTACAAAGGTATGGAATCTTGAAGTTGTTAAACATATGAATTCCAAAAAGGCGATACATGTCTATGCCCTCCCTATACATTTCACTTAACTTAATTAACAGAAACGAACAGAACGGGAAATGTCAGCTGTTAAACCTGAGAATAAAAACCGAAAAATAAAACGGAAACTGATCATTATACTGTAATGAATTTGAGTACGAAACACACGAAACCCAATAGTTGAACACATAGAACTTTGGGGGTGAGTTTGAATTACTATTGTTAGAATAATGGCGTGTGTTATAAATAATAACTAGAACCAAAAGCCAGAAAAGATTTATATGCTTATTTTACCTAGAACCTGACGCTGATTAAAATTAATATTATTTATATAAAAGTAATAAAATTATATTTTTGTTACAACTTGTTTAGGTCTAGTAACAAACTAAGTTAGTTACAATTTAACATTATTTGTTGTGATGGGTGATAAGCTACACATTTTGAAAAATGTACCTAAATTGTCTGACATTGTTTTATAAAATTTTACTTTTGTGTAAATTAGTTTCGTAATAAGGACAATAGCAAAAATCTGCTTTTAACAAATCGACGGCGGCAGGACTCTTTTAAGATGCATGATTTTCCTTTTAAATTAATCAGATTGAAACTAGAAGAATCAGATTCAAGTTATCTGTTAATTCTTATGGGTAGTGCATTTGGACGACAAAATGTTGTTTTATTTTTAAACATTTGGGGAGTCCACTGATTTGAATGAATGTTTATTGTGTCTTTCAACATCGAATTTTTGGGATTTTTGGAATCAAAATCGGAAACTCCATAGAGTAAACAGGTTTTCTAGTCTCGAATGGCTAAGATATACAATATACAAGAAAAATATATTTGAAATATTTTAGAAAGGTTATACTTTGAAAGGCATATCACCATTCCTAGAACATAAAATCGAGTAGAAATAAATCGTAGTACATAAAGAACGCCTATCCTTAACAGTTATGAAAAAGAAAACCAAAAAAAGTTCGCTTATTGAAAGAACAGATAGCAATTACAGAGGGTTAAAATAATTTGCCTAAAAACTCCCATGACCATTGCGAAGGGTTGATCGTGTCGGATTGCCGGCCCACGATTACGCCGCGTGGCTCTTCTCACGCCCATGAATAACTAATTTGCTGACCGTAGGCGTAACAATGTCGATTTATTGAAAATACTTTATGCTCATTTCAAAGAGCACTATGGCCGCTCTGATTTGCATTTAGTGCAATGCAAATTGAAACCGGTGCATGTTTATCCCCGATTTCAATTCCCATGACAAAATATTCAATTTAAACAGAATTGAAACTTGGTTTAAAATATCAGTCATTACTGAGTTTTATTATGTTCCAATTTATTTAAGTTGGATAGAAAAGTTTTATGGGGAGAAAACTGGTGATGTGAAGATACGAATTAAATAAATCAAATTTCTCGATTAAAGAAACATTTTCGTTAATCCCATTGTCGTTTAAAAATATCCGGTTAATTTTGTAATACGATAAAAAGCTTTGCGTTTGATACAAATATGAGAGTGGACCATTCGATTAAAAGTGGATGTTTGGTTAACAAAAAAGTACAGCGTGTGGTAAAGTATACTAAAACTCTTCATGGATAAGAAATATACACTAAAGAGAAAAGAAAATGTTCCCGTATAGGTATACGTTTTTTTACCAACAAGTATAATTACATATTATGTACATTATGCACATTAATCAAACAGAACATACAGAGTGTTTGGTGGAGTGAAATTCGAATTAAATCTTAGTCTGCCTACAAAACAAGGTACTTGCTAGATTGGATTGGAGGTAATGTCTATGTTGGAACTTTAAATAGTGCTTTGCTGGACTGCTTGTAAGATAATAAATGTATAGATTGGTGTCGGTAAAACAACAAAAAAATCCAATTTAATCAGTACACTCAGATTTGCTTAGGTAACTGGCCAAAATGTCCACCATTTACCTCGTATTCTTACACCTTCTAATTGCCGTATTTAAATATTTTATCATTCGAATTAAAATATCTTGTTGGTTCCTTGTGGAACGAGCTTCAGTTTGTTGTGCCTCATAAAACAGACCTTTTAAGTGACCCCCAAAGTAAAAATTTAAGGGACTAAGATCAGAGCTTCGAGCTGACCGAGAAAATTCACAATATTTCGTCGGCAAACTTTCCTTGTAAATTTGCCCAATTGAATTTCCAGACATACTTTATTATTGCCTATCGAATAACGGAGGTGTTTTAAACAATTTATAAAAACAATTCTGCCCTAATCACACATTTTATCTTCTAACTCGTGAACCGATAATCCGATTTTACGTTTTCCTGCTGATCATTGGATGAATAATTTTATAGTAAGGCGGCGTGTTTTTTATCTACTCCTCTCTTTCAAAAGAAATTTATCGTGATTTGTTTTGAAATGAAAGCCCTGTACTTATATAAATAATATGTAAATCGCATACACATTACTTATGTTGTCGCTTGGCATTTGGTCTTAATAAAATTTATTTACGAATTAAATGTGTAATAATAATTGTGAAAATTTGTTGGTCAGGTCAAAGTCAATTCAAAATTTAAGATAAAATAATATTGCCATTCATTCTAATTCCACTCAATTAAGATATTGCAAAAATAAGAAACTATGTGGAAATTATGTTACAATCAAAAATAATTCCTTAATCATTCCATATCTCCAACAAATTCACCACTAACATCCTGCGACCCGAAATCGTGTGATTTATTTCTGTGGGAATTTGTAAGACCGTTTAAGTTAACAAACCAATCGCAATTCTCGAGATGAAGCGGAACATACGACAGGAAAAAATCAAACTAACGGTTTCATTTTTTAACTCGATACAGTACATTGGGCATAAGCAGACCGAATCGGGGAGCAAATATCTTCATTACTATATAAGCTTTGACTAAAATCTATTTTTACAGGGGGTTATTACCACATCTTTGCCTCTAGTAGATCGATATTGCCGCTAGTATTTTAATACATTATTATTAAATAAATAGAAATTTATATTAAAACAGCATTTTGAAAAATGAATACTTAAGGCTCTCAGAAGATTCGGAAAAATCATATGTTTTACGTGTATCGTGACACCAATGAAGCCAATTTGAAACACTTATTATAGTACATGTTGACGTTTTCCTGCAATCAAATTAAATCCGAGAATGTTGTGCACCAGGTGAGCTTATCTCGAAAACCAAGCATTTCCACACTGATGTTAGGAATATTTGTTAAAAATCCATAGACGGATTCAGTCATTTAAAAGCTTACGCTTACTTTACAATCAGCATGTCTCTTGCACGAAAATTGGACAACTTTAAAATTTCAATAATCAAGTTCTATAATTTACTTATAA